GCTGGCCGCATCACAGCCCTGCATTGGAGCGGGGAGGTAGTCACTGCTGTTAAACTGTCTAATCGGCTGGCTTAGTTAAAACCCAACCAACCCCACCCGTTATCAGTATCTCTAACATTCGTCTTAGTGAATAATTAAATTTTGTTTAATTCATTAATAATTAATTTACTAGAATTAAAATTCACTAATAAAGATGAGAGTGCATGCAATATGCCCATTGGATCTGTGGCGGACCCATCCTTAGGCACATCAGCTATTCTGATCTGTACCCACCTTCATAACCATGACTCTTCAGGCGCAGGGACAGTCCTTACAGCGCAGGGGGCAGCCTGGGACTGAAGTCCAGGACAGCCCAGCAGAGCCCACACCTGAGCCATCACCAGTCTGCACCTGAATCCAGGCCTGAATCCACACCTGACCTGAGCCATACCTGAGCCCCTGCGCAGCCTGAATGACCAGGCTGGGCCTTATTAAATATGAGATATTGCATGTCTAAAAGGTCTCAAAGATGACTGAAGCAGACGCATTTTAGATGCAATTATTGTTAGTTCAGCCAAAGTGGGGCGGACTAACATGTGAACAGTTTGCTGCTTTTCAGTAAACTTCCTAGTGGAAGGAATAGAACCCAATGTCTTGCACCCCAGGGAGTGGCCATGGCAGACATGAGCAGCTGCACCCTCCTCTCCTCCAACTGGGGGCCCCCTGACCTGTCTGCAGGGCAGACTTCCAGAAGACCCTAGGGCAGGGGTGGAGGAGCTTGACCTGGCCAAGACCACACCCCTGTCGTGGCCGGAGTCCTGCAGGTACAGGGGCCCTTGCCGGAGGCCCCTCGGCGGGTGCTGGGACCCCACCCTGTGTAACCCCCGCCCCCCCCCAAAGCTTCTCTGTCGCTTTTCTCTTAGTTGAAGTCAGAGGACAACCTGTTGACGGCACTCCCGCAGTCAGTAAGGGTGACCTGGTGTTGCCGTCTAAGTTCTAGGAAACCCACAGCTCACATCAGAAAGGGGCTGGGTCAGGGTGGGCCAGGGCAGATCCCTGAGTCCCTCAGTGGTCGGGGCAGGTCCCGGTGGCCTTGGCGGCCTGGGCGGGACAGTGGCTGTGCTGTGTCCTTTCCCAGGCACTGGGGTGGCTGGCGTCCGGACCTGCTGCTCCCTGGGTGGGGAACCTCACACTTGGTGCTGCTGGTGACGCCAACTGATCATGAAAGTGCCACGAAAAATTCAGCTCCCGGGAGCAGAGGCGCTGGGGCGTCCTCTCTGCATTGTTCAGGGGCTTAGGGCCCATATATGGCAGCGTGGGTTTGCGTGGGGTCTTTAGAAGCTAAAATAATTGTCTACATGACATGATTCATTCAACCAACCGTGGGTCTGCCCTGCTGTGACCAACCGGCTGCAACCTACCGGCCCATGACAGCCAGGACCCACCTGTCCGGCAGTGGGGGAGAGGGGTGGAGGCCAGGACAGCCAGAACCCACCTGTCCGGCAGTGGGGGAGAGGGGTGGAGGCCAGGACAAAAGGACCGCACTGTGCGTCCTTTAAACACAAGAAACTCATGAAAAGGACACACACTTATTGTAGAAACAGAGAACAGAGGCAGATGGAGGGATTAGAGCAGCGGTTCTCAACCTTTGGGGGGGTCGAACGACCCTTTCACAGGGGTCGCCTAAGACCATTGGAAAACACATATATAACTACATATTGTTTTTGTGATTAATCACTATGCTTTAATTATGTTCAATTTGTAACAATGAAATTGGGGGTCACCCCAACATGAGGAACTGTATGAAAGGGTCGCGGCATTAGGAAGGTTGAGAACCACTGGACTAGAGGACGCCACAAGACTCCTGCCTCTTCACCGTGTGGCTCACCTTCGGGCAGTGGCCTCGGGGATGGGGCCGCCCAGGTGGAGCAGACCCTCCCTCGGAGCCTGCCCGGGTGCGTGCGAGGTGTTAGTCCTGGCCTGGGGGCTGGGGCCTGGGGAAGGAGCAGGGGCAGTGTGTGTGTGTGTGTGTGTGTGTGTGTGTGTGTGTGTGTGTGTATGTGTGATGGCTCCAACGGCAGGCTCATTCCCTCTCCGGGTGTGTAGGGGTGGGCACTTGGGGTGGCTGTGCGGGAGGGGTGGCCCAGGCAGACAGGCAAGCGGGGCCTGGGGTCAGTGCCAGGCTCTACTGCTGCCCAACCGGGAGTCCAGGAGGACGACTGTCTGAGGCCCAGCTGGGACCTTCTGCCCCACGAAGGTCCGAGAGGCCAAGGGCAGGCGCAGGAGGTGTCGGGGTCTTGGCGACGCTGCTTTGAGTAGGAGCAGCGGTGGGGGGCCACTGTTCTCTCTCTGCTCTGGCCGCCTTCGCCCTTTTGTGAACACAGTCCCTCCTCCTGGAGGGTCTCACAGGCGGGATGTGTGGGGCCCGGGCCGGCCCACCTGCCCTCAGCACACACCCTGCCCCAGCCCCGCCGACCACCCGCGGAGGGCGCTGCGTGCTCAGCGAGGCTGCGAGCCTGGGAAGGGCCGGCGATGGAGGCCCCCCAAGTGCACCGACTCCGGCGGCTTCTGCGCCCGGCCTCGGGCTTCGTGCTCGCGGGGCCACCAGGTGGCGCCCTGGTCCCACGGCGCACGTTGGTACCAAGGTGGGCTGGGCGGAGGGCAGACCTGCCCCCTTCACCGCTGTATGACGTCCGTGCCCCCCTCCCGGGCTGGAAGCAGGCGCCACGTCCAGGTCTTTTCCTTTCGGGCTGCTCGACCCTTGGACACTGGTCTCACCCTCCAGGCACACAGCTGAGATGATGGGGGGACGGACCGTGGCTCCCATTCCAGAGAGAGTCAGGGCCTGGGGTGCCCCATGGGGGGGTGGGCTCCTGTCCACCTCTTGGTTCTCCCCAGGGTCTGGGGCGGCAACCAGACAGCGACTTTGGGCCGCCGGTTCCCATGGCTGGGACTTCGCCTCCTGCTCACTGTCCTGCTCCCAGACCCCGTCCCTCTCCTCTGCCTGGGGATCTCCCGGGCGTTGATGGTGGCTGAGGCTCCTCCTTTCGCTCATGTCTGCTGAGTTTTGAAAGGAGTCCGATCCAGCCAGGACACCATCGTAGCCTAATCAAGAGAAGCTGTGTTATTTTCAAATGTGTTGCATTTGAAAGGTTCTTTAATAAACACACAGAGGCTGCTCTGTGTCAGACACTCTGCATGTAGCCACCGCCCTGACAACAGGGCGGCTCTTGTTCCTAATTCCATTTTTTTTTAAAATATTTTTTAAATTTATTTCAGAGAGGAAGGGAGAGATAGAAACATCAATGATGAGAGAGAATTATTGATCAGCTAATCATTGATCAGCTGTCTCCTGCATGCCCCCTACTGGGGACCGAGCCCGCAACCCGGGCATATGCCGTGTCTGCATTAATTTCCTTAATGACTAATGACGGCAAAATCCTTTCATGGGCTCATTGGCCATTTGAATACCTTCCTTTTTGAAATGTCTTTAGTCTTGGGAAATGTTCGTTGTATGCTTAAAAAGTGTGTGT